TGTTGTTAGGTGCCGTCAAGGCATTCCGACTCATAACATACCTGTAGTAGAAAGCCTCCTCTTCTGAGGAGTAGCTGCTGGGTTTCAAATGCTGACTTTGTGGTTAGGAGTCCAGTGTATAGCCTACCGCACCACCAGTGTTCCATTGGTATTGGAATATTGTTTTTTAAATGCAAAAATGCAGTCACAGTTGTGAAGCGATTCTCTGTCTGATGCATAGTTTGGGTATGGAAATTGGTTTAAAAACTACGAAAATTGGATACAAAACTGCTTCCCTTAACTCCAGCTGTGCAACTTGAGAGTTGAGGCCTGTATCTGACGTCGTACAGTTCACAATATTAAAACTAGGTGACTTCACTCAACAAGTATTTACTGAACAGCTCTGGTAGCGTAGTGGTTACAAATCAGGCTGTGAACCACAAGGTCAACAGTTCAAAACTACCAGCTGTTCTGCAGGAGAAAGATGAGGCTTTCTGCTCCCGTAGAGATTTACAGCCTCGGAAACCCTGGACAGGGTCGCTATGAGTTGGAACCTACTCCATGGCATATAACCAACTAACCAACCAGTAATTATCTTTAGACATATAAGTTGACCTTTGTGCACATGTGACCAGGTAACCAATCCCCTGTTGTCCCACAATTCTCTGATAATGCTGTGTTGGGAAGTGCTACCAGAGGAATTCACTGTAAGAAGCACAAAGCCAACAATGACCCCCCCACTCCTGCTGCCCATGGCACTGTAAGGCTGTGTTACAGGACAGAAACGTGAGTTTGACACCAAGAAAATCAGGTCTCAAACCCACCCTGCCAGGAACTAGCTCAGCAGCCTTGTGCAAATAAATCACTTGTCTTCCCTAAGCTCTACTCAGACTTCTGTGTAATGGGGTGACATCCTACTACTCACATGGTCATTTGGGGTCAAGTGAGGTAACAGCAACCTGTACAGGACACCAAGTGGTCAACAAGCATGCCAGGGGGCAGGGGGTGCCACACATACACGTGCGCACACACAACTCCATCCTCATTGTCGATTCTGATCCTGGCCTAGAGAGAGGGGAAAGAGTTCTTTAGGAAAGGCTTTGGAAGAAGTGGCTTTTGGGCTGTCTTCTGAAGGGTGAGCAGTGATTGGACCTGCAGTGTAACTCAGCAAGGGAGAAACTAGGGCGGGAGCCACTTAACCTGAAAATAATGCAGCTTATTTCATCAGTGTGCAAAACAAGCAGCCGTCTCCCCATGCTGAGAGTCCAGTGCTGGGCAAGGAGATCCTGTTCTGTGGGCTCTGCACATGGCCGGAGTGCACCCTAGCCAGCACTTCTGTGTCTCCGTTACATAGGTGCCTCAGACACTGGTCTCCTAGGAAGCTCGTAAAGCCCATTCTGCTATTTAAGAGGGAACCCTTGACTTCTCATCTAAAGTTTCTTCTGTCTCTTAAACTTGATTTTCTGATTGTAATTTAAGCATGTTGTTGTTGTGAAGTGCCATCAAGTCAGTTCTTACTGTAGCAACCCTGTAAAGAATTTCTGAGGAGTAGCTGGTGAGCTTGAACCGCCAACCTTGCAGTTCAAATGGTTTTGCAGTCTGGACATTAACCCACAGCACCCCACCAGGACTCCAATTTAAGCTTAGTTTTCCTTTATTCATCCTAAACCAACTCAAACTGATTCTTTTGTTTTGTTTTTCAATCTTTGCATAGGCCCGAAGCTGCTCAGCAGACGTTCCAAGGCCTGGGACCTGGTTTCTCAGGCTACACAACTTACGGGTGGCTGCAGTTCTCCTGGTTCCAGCAGATCTATGCCCGGCAGTACTACATGCAATAGTGAGTCTTTCCTGGTTGTGCCAGCTGGGGCTAGGGCTCCTGGCAATGGCGGGCAGTCCCATTCTAGTCACTTGGAAAGTGGAGACTGGAGGGAGGAACGTGTTCTCATCAGCTTCTCCCGAGCCCTGCTCTATCCAGTTCTGTGGGTGGAATTAGAGTATCAGTGACAACTGCCACTGCTTTTAGGAGGGATCTGTGTCTGACACTCAGTCTGGTGACCTTTTATTTAGAATATGCCATTTCTTTGTCAATTTTTAAGACTTTGTTTCGTGACATTTCTAAGGTGGTGCTGTAGGCTAGGCATTGGGCTGCTAACCTCAAGGTCAGTGGTTCAAACCCACCAACTTCTCCACGGAAAAACGATGAGGCCGTTTGCTCCCCTGAAGATTTACAGTCTCAACTTGACTCAATGGCTGTAGTTTTGGTTTGGTTTCTTACTGCACCATACCTTTATAGTGACTGTGATGTTTAACTCCAGAAAACGTTTATCATATGGCCTCTCTTCAGGGCTAGGAAATGCATTTATGGATATGACTATTAGTAAGGAAGTTAGTCATTAAGTTAAAGGAAAACCAAGTGTGCGCATGCCAACTTATAATTCTTAACAGTAGAAGACCCCAGCATAAGGAAGATTCTGAAAGTCACTGTCCTCACAATGCTTTGCACCCAACAGGTGTCTGTTGCTTTTGTCTTAGTTTAGCGGCCACTGCTGCATCGGGGGCTTTTGTCCCATCGCCAGGTGCACAAGAGATACCAGTGGTGTCTGCACCTGCTCCAGCTCCGATTCACAACCAGTTTCCAGCTGAAAACCAACCAGCCAATCAGAATGCTCCTGCTCAAGTGGTGGTCAATCCTGGAGCCAATCAGAATTTGCGGATGAATGCACAAGGTGGCCCGATTGTGGAAGAAGATGATGAGATAAACCGAGATTGGTTGGACTGGACCTATTCAGCAGCCACATTCTCCGTCTTCCTCAGTATCCTCTACTTCTACTCCTCCCTGAGCAGATTCCTCATGGTCATGGGGGCCACTGTGCTTATGTACCTGTAAGCAGATGATTTCTTTCCTTTACTACAATTACACTAGATGGTCTTGGGCATTATCTAAGAGATGTTTTTAAAGAGTAGGTCATTCTGGAACTTCCCAGTATGAAGAACCCAGGGACACTTAGTCATGTGTTCATGCAAGAAGAGCATCCTCTTTCCCTCTATGCACGGTTCCTTCCAGGCTCACGAACTGCAATCGTACAGCCATAGTGAGGCACAGAATGGAAAGTGGTATTTGTTTTGAATAAGAATGTGTTTGTCTTTGTCATTACAGATGTCTTCTAGGATAAAGGTCAGACACTGCCCCATTAGTTAGCAGCCTTCAAGGACCAGGGAGCCTTTCCAGACTTGGCCTTAGCTCCCTGTGGCCTTGTGGATTGGCTCTCAGTGAGGGAGAGAGCCTCCTTCCCAGAACATTTGACAATGCCAGGAAACATCACAAGTGGGTGCTACTGGCAGCTAGTGAATAGAGGCTGGAGATGCCACTAGACATACTCAATGCCCTGGACAGTCTCCACAATAATTATTCTGTGCAAAATGTCAGGCCTGCTGAAGCAAAACTCCCAGAAGGATGATGGGTCTATAGAAAGATTTAGAGGAATGTATCCAGACTTGAGTGATGTCAGTATCTTGTCAGATTTCTTCAAGAGTTGGGTACAATTGGATTTTCTAAATAAAAATTTTAGTCAGTTCATTCCGTAATATCTAGAATCATATTTAGGTGACCAGATTTTGGTGCTGCAGTATAATACACTAGACCGCAAGGTTGGGTTTGAACCGCAAGGTCAGTGGTTCAAGCTCACCAGCCGCTCCTAAGAAACCCTATACAGGGTCGCCAAGAGTTGAAACTGACTCAATGGCGCTTAACAACAACAAAAAATATGCCAAGGGGCTTCAAAAAGTTCGTGGAAAAATTCCATTATCTTTCAATTCCATTAAACTTTTAAGTAATTAATAGCTTAGTGTATGTGTGTGAGTGTGTGTTTGCCCTCAAGCTTTTCAAGTGTAAGGTTTTGTTGAGATAAACAAGTATTTATTGAGCATCTACTATGTGCCAGGTGCCTTTTATGTTGCTGGGCATACACAGAAAAAGTGTAGGAAACAGTGTGGTAGACTGCCCCTATAGATTGGCATCTAATCGGGGTGCTGTTGTGACTAGAGGCAGGTGGGCAGGGGACTTTGGTTAATTGAGAAGACCTTAAATTCTGGAGTAAATCTCACTGTGGTGCTAGCTAACCTGAGCTTTTTGTGCTTCCTTTGAAGGCATCATGTTGGCTGGTTTCCATTTAGACAGAGGCCAGCTCCAAACTTCCCGAACGATGGTCTTCCTTACGAAGCTGTAAACCAGGACCCCAACAATAACCTGCAGGTATGGATGGAGCCTCTGATGGAGCCCTGGAGAGCCTGACATGAAATTCCTGCCTCTCAAATCTCTAACCTGTAGACTTCCAGTGTCGTAGTAGCCATTTCATTAGGTTAAATACCTCGAGATTAGCAAGAAATTAGTTGAACACTGTCTATGCAATAAAATCCATCATATGTTTTTGTCATGTAACGATAGCATTTTTGGCATATGTAAATAATGTTTTCTAAAACCCACTATTTTGAGTGCTAAATAGTGTAGGATAGCATATTCTACCCTAGAAATGGCTAGTGGGTAGCTATTCTAACTCAGAATTGAGAGGAAAGGTGTGCCTCATACACAGATGTACTGAGAAATAACACGCAGATGTTGAATTTCTGTAAAGCAGGCTAGGTAATGCAGGATCCTGCAGGAAATTCATTTATGATATCTGTATACCATAATTATCTGTAAGGAGCTCTGGTAGCATAGTAGTTACAAATCAGGCTGCGAACTGTAAGGTCAGCAGTTCAAAACTACCAGTTGTTCTGTGGGAGAAAGATGAGGCTTTCTGCTCCCGTAAAGATTTACAGCCTCGGAAACCCTGTACAGGGTCGCTATAAGTCGAAACCAACTCCACAGCACACCACCACCACCACCTCCTAACACATTATTAAGGATCCCTGGTGATGCTTTGGGTTAAGCAGTGGGCTGCTAAACATAAGGGTGGTGGTTCAAACACACCGGCTGCTCCAATCGAGAAGGATGAGGCTGTCTTCTGTAAAGATTTGGTTTTGGAAACCCTATATAGGGTTGCTATGATGGCAGTGGTTTGGTTTGATTTTAATTAACATTATTTATGCTAATCACGACCCTAATTGTTTACTCATGTGTCATTAACTCACTATAGGAAGAGGGCTCTGATCCTGAAACCGAAGACCCCAACCACCTGCCTCCAGACAGGGACGTAGTAGATGAAGAGCAGACCAGTCCTTCATTTATGAGCACAGCGTGGCTTGTCTTCAAGACTTTCTTTGCCTCTCTTCTTCCAGAAGGCCCTCCCGCCATAGCAAACTGATCCACAAGTGGGCTGGATCTTTGATTCCAGTTTGATTTCCTCACCTGGACTTGGCAGTGACAAAATTGTTAAAAGAACCAACAAGGATGGCGAATGCTTTTGTGATGGAGCAAAAGCTGAACGTTAAGACGTGAAGCCATGATACAAATTGATGAACAAAAACTGCACAAGGCTTCTCATGTCTTTCTTCTGAAGAGTTTTCACATATACTGTCTGTAGTTTAATAGACGCTGTAAGTAGAAGGCAGTAGTATCGCATGTTTATGCCTGAGGAACTTTTCCAGATGTGTGTGTCTGCATGTGTGTTTGTACATAGATGTCATAGATGCAGAAATGGTTCTGCTGGTACGATTTGATTCCTGTTGGAATGTTTAAATTACACTAAGTGTATTACTTTATATAATCAAATGAAATTGCTAGACATGTTTTAGCAGGACTTTTCTAGGAAAGACTTGTGTATAATTGCTTTTTAAAATGCAGTGCTTTACTTTAAACCAAAGAGAATTTGGCAGAGGTGAAAGCCTTTGCTGGGTTTTCTGTTCAATAAAGTTTTGCTATGAATGACCCTAGTCGCTCAGCAGTTTACTCTGTGTCCATTGTCACTGGTTGCTGATTTTCAAGTGACCTGAATTTTTGTCTTTTTATAAAAAGACTTTTTTTTACCGTTGAAGAATGATATTATAAAGCCATAGAAGTTTACATTTACTAAGAATATTAAATGTGTGCTCCGTTACCTGATTTGCACAGTACTGACGTAAGTAGTAACCCATTGAAGTTGAATTCCCCACGTTTAACATCAGTGGCATCAAGTGCCTTCGACCTTGGCAATTTTGTAACAGTTTGACCTACACAAATGTCATGCTTTTGTAAGCTGAGCTTTTGTGATTTTAATCCTTTTTTAAAATATGAATTTTAAGCTCTAAGAAGAGGAAACCGCTGGTTGGTCCCACGTATGATGAGACCTGGGGACTCCTGAGCCCATGGACCAGGACATAACCACAAGGGCTAGAACTGACAGTGCAGCATCCAGCTGATATGAAGTGAGTGGAGATGTACAAGAATGCCCAAACTTACAGATAATACCCATTTGACCTAGCTTCCATGGTTTTATGGTCAGACTCTACTAGAGGAAGATTAAGAAATTTTTGATAAAGGAAACAAGTGTAAATTGCTACAATTTGATGAACTTGACCTATACTTATGGATGTAGTAGCTCATAATACCAACTGAGAGGGAAGGAGTCTTCACATCAAGGATCAATCCTATCCCCTCTGTACACAGGGTTGATAGGGATGGGCAACTTAGACATTGGCTACCTAAAATGGGAAGGGGGGGGGCTATAAAGGTATGAAGTAACTGGCTTACAAGTTTTCAAGAGCGAGGTTAGTTTCAGAGTGTGCCGGGGAAGGTACAGTCCCCACTGAATCATTTTCATCTTGTCTAGATGGGTCTGGTGAAAGGAGGTGGGGATAAGAATCTTATGATTCAATAGTGAGTAATTGTTATCAAGACGAATTGCAACTGTCACACCTGTAAAGGTAGAAGTTTTGTAACAAAAAAGGGGAGTAATTAATCTTACAGTCCAGAAACAGAGGACCCTAGGACCATCAAGGGCAAAGAGCATGAGTGGAATGGGGGACCTTATCCAGAGAAGTCAGCAACACCAGAGATAGAGGTAGAGCTGCAGACATGGAGAGATAGAGCAACTGAGGACTCTAGACTCATGGAAAGAGAAAGGCTGTGTGCTGGCAGCCAGGAGGCAGGCTTACAGAACGTGCCCTTTGGTTGTTTAAATGATTATATATCCCTGAATATTTTTATGCATATCCTCCTCAAAAAAACCCAGAGGGAATAGAAGCAAATACTGTTGAATGATGATGCACGGAGGGGATTGTAATCACTGTAATTAAATGATGAGTGTAAAACTGATGTTCTCCATGTAAACTATCACTCAATTCACAATAAAAAACTTAAAAAAAAAAAAAAAGATTATTGCAATGATAAAATGAAGTAAATAATGTAAGGTTTTTAAAAAAAAGCAAAAAAAGCAAAGCTCTAAATACCAAGATAAGTCAAAAAAAAGTATTGCTTTATTAAAAATAATCAAAATGTAAAGATTTTGTTTCTTGAGATAGTCTCTAAATCTATACTCGTCTGAAGGTGATGTTTCTGCCTAACCCTTCCAGGAGGAATTCTATTCTCTGATTTACACCACGTCAAAAGAGCAGTTTTGGCATCCTTCAAGGGACACAAATCATGTTCCTTTTCAATATTCTTTGCATTTGAGGAACAAAATGTCTGAAGGGGCAAGATCAGGGCTATAGGGTGGATGGGGGAAGGTTTTTCAATGAAATTATAGGATAGTGCTTGCTACCCTTGAAGAATGAGCAGACGCATTGCCATGATGGAAAAAATTCTTCATTGCAATTGTCCTGGCCTTTTTCTTAACCAATGCAGTGTTCCATTGTTTTAAATCGTTATAATAAGCCCTGTGAGTGTTTCGGGACTTATGCTCTGGCATTGTGGATCAGCACTGAACTATGAACTACAAGGTCAGCAATTCAAACCCACCAGCTGCTCCTCGGGAACTCTGTGCAATTAACAAAACAATAGTTGTGTGCCCCTTTGAGAATATCAAGATTAGCCTTTTGGAACCCCCCAAAAAACAGTCTCCATCACTTTCTGATCTAACCCCTCAGCCTTGAATTTGACTGATCACCAGATACCCTCAGAAGCCACTGTCTTGACTGGCCCTTTGTTTTGAAGGCACCCTAATAAGATGAAGACAAGTGTATCACTGAGAGAACTTGTCTGTAGCCACCCCACTGATGGCAGAGACATGATCAAATTCATTTTGCCTGGAAAAAAACAAGCATACATGTATGAACTGGAACCGTAGCTGCAATGTTTTTTGGCTTAACCCTTGTATTTTTCATGTGTATAATGTTAAGAGGTTGAAATGCTAAAAGTCTGGCCAGTGGTGTTTTGTATCATGGTTGTGAGCATTTGAATTAATCCTTACTGGAAGCATCATTTAAACACATAGACATTCATTAAGTAATTCATAGATGGTGCACAGGCAAGAGGTGTTTTAAGTAGGATTTCATTTTAAAAAGCAAATTAAGATAATTACATACAGAGCTAAATGACAGAAAGTTTCAAAGAGCAGCATGCTTTCAGAGTTGAGGCACTTTGAAAAGAGAGAGCAGCTGTTGACAAGTTGGGTAGGCAATGCTTGCTTGAAGGAAGCAGTGTCTTGAATGTTTACAGAGTTTTGTGGATGAGGAAGTGGGTCTGAAATGAGGGGAAATGAGGAAAGAAAGGATCTGCAAAAGTAGACGGTGCAGTGAATGATTTCATATGGCCCTCCTAGCTTTATAGTCTTAGTAACTCCCACCAAATGACTGGCTAGGGCTATGTCATTGGCTTGGCAGTTAAAATATAGTCACCCCCACCCACGGTAGGATCTAATAGAGTGTAATCATCATGAGGAGATCTGCCATGAGCAGCTAATTGACAGGGAGTTTCTTCTTGGGAAAGCTGTGGAAAAACTTGTTTTTGCTGTGTCTGGATCCTGCATCTGGGTTGACATCTGACCTCCAGTTCTTTGGCTTGAACCAGTGACCTGCTGTCTTGCCTACTGATGCTAGGAATCATTAGCAGTCTGCCATCTTACCTGCTGACCTCAGATTCATCTGCCATTGCAGCCAGAAGCCTGGGTTCATCAACCTCGGCAGCTATGTGAGTCAGGAGAAGCCTCTAGCTTGACAACCGTCCCACGGAGTGGAACTCGCCCCCCTCTACAACTGTGAGAGCCTTAGAGTGGAAAAGCTGTGTCTTTGGGCTAGAGGTTTGGTGGAGTGGGGTGCCTTCTGGACACTTGTTCAGCATAAGAGACCTTTGTGACACTGCCCAGGAAGGGCCAGGCCTAGCACCAGAGAGAAGGCGTGCCTGAGGACACAGCTAAGAAGAGGCAGTCCACTTCTGATTAAAGAATCGTGCTGAGTGTTCCTGAACTGAAATTGTACTTCATTATTTTCCCCAGTAAGCCCATATTGTGAGTATGGTTTGTGAGTTCAGCGAGTTATTGAACCCAGCAGAGAAGTAATGCCTTGGGAAGGACAGTTGGTGTTAGAATTGGTGAAAGTTTGGAGGGTGGAGGCATATCTGATGGTGATGATATTGATTCTTTCTTCTCCCCCTAAAGTTAAAGCAAAGGAGCTCTGGTAGCCTAGTGGTTACGAATCGGGCTGCGAACCTTAAGGTCAGCGGTTCGAAACTACCAGCTGCTCCGTGGGAGAAAGATGAGGCTTTCTACTCCCGTAAAGATTTACACCCTCGGAAACCCTATACAGGGTCGCTATGGGTCGGAACCGACTCGATGGCACATAACAACAACAACAAAGTTAAAGCAGGGCCGGTTCCACGCCCATGCTTTGCTTCTGGATGGCCTTGACCCCTCCTGCCAAAGTCTAGCTACTTTGTCTGCTTGGTAATGGCATCAGGTGTGTCTTGGTAACTTATGAAAGTCTGTGAAGGCTTTTTCAAGTCTTGGGTAGATAGGCCCAGCCCTTCTCAGGATGGGAACCACTCTTTGGGGAGGAGTCGAAGTGCTGGCAGCTGGCAGTGACCATCTCCCATTTCTAAACTAGTGGTGTCAGGTTGTGATGACTAAGCTCCAAATAGTTCAAGGAAGGTGCTCCTGAGGGAAGCTGACAAGGGTTCAGATTGGCTCAAGACCCACTAGGGCAAATGGGAGCCATGGGCATATCACAGAAATATCAGTGGTCCCATGTTGTTAAGTGCTGTTGAGTCGGTTCCAACTTATAGCAACCCTATATAGGGTTTCCAAGGAGTGGCTGGTGAGATTGAACCACTGACCTTGTGGTTCAAACAACTTTGTAGTCCAGTGCATTAGCCCACAGAGCCACACACTCCATTTGTTGTTGTTGTGAAGTGTCATCAAGTCAGTTCCGACCCATAGTGACCCTGTATAGGGTT